AGTGCAAGTGAGGAAGAAAGTTTTGTTTAAACCGTAAACATTTTGAATAGTTAAATATTATTTGTAAAGGTGTTATTGTTTTTACCAATTAGTTGATTAACTAATTAATAAAAACAATGACACCTTTATTGTTGTGTCAACAGTTTTAAAAGCAGAAACATTCTATTGAAAACATTTTATTTTATTTTATTTATTTGAATTTTCATGCTATATTTTTCTATATAATGTTCTTATATCCGAATATATCATTGACTTAGCATAGGAATAGCCACAAATAGTCATTAAGACTAATCTAAAGTAGCGTCTATTATTGACCAACATTATGCGTACTGAAGTATCACTTAAGTGCTGAGTTGGCAGTGCAGGATTTGAACTCGTATCTTTTAACAGTCTAGGTTTTAACTCTTCGTTTGACGCTCTAACTAACTGAGCTATCCAGTCATAAAGTCAATTTCAATATGCCTCCCACCTATCTTACACCTCCTATGTCTTTTCACAGAATTAATTAGAACAATTTTTTTTAACTAGTTTTATTTTAAACATGTTTTATGTTATCAATGTAAACTGAATAAAACAGCAATAAAACACTGTCGAAGTTGTTTTATATTAACAAAAACTCTTTATATTGACAAACAATTTTGCATTGTTTTACTATTTTAGTATAATGTCCAATGGTTATCTAAGAACGTTGTTGCAATATTGTTTTATTGTACTGTTTTGCAGGGGTTTTTTTATTTTGTTGCTTTTTACAATAACAATTTAATACTTGTTAAAGATAAAACGAGTTTTATTTTTAAAGAGTAATTAAAAGAGTAATTTTATACTAAAGCAACCCCCCTTACCGCAAAGCAGCGCTAGGGATTGAGAATATATATATATATATATATATATATATATATATATATATATATATATATATATATCAGGGCTCGAATTAAGCGTATCGCGATTGCTTTTTACACCTTCGCGATTAGTTTTTTCTTAAAACATATATTTTTGCGATTGGTTTACTTTTTTAGTTGTTTATTCACTATTTTTCTAATTTAGCTTTTTTTTTTTGTCAATTCTTAAAAGTAATGTTTTCATAGCAAAGTACCCCACGCAAAGTTTGTCTTTTGAACAGAAGTATGATCATTTGCTTTTGAATAGAAGCACAATCATTTGCTCTTTCGCACCGAAATTTTTATTCAACGTAAACCACTTTTTAATTTAAACTACTTTAAATCTCTGCGTAGAAGCAAATTAAAAAGACAAAAGTTAAAAATAGTTTTTTCTTCATTCTATTTTTTTAACAAAACAGCATTTTTATCTTTTTTTAAAAGAAACTTTGCTCCAAATTAACTTGATAATAATGATTTAAATTACTATTTTATAAACAATTTTATATAATTATTTTTACTACTTTAAGTATAATAAAATATATATAAATTCGTTTTTATTAAATAAAATTTCTATTAGTAAAATTGTGCTAAAAAAAACCCAAAAACTTTTTTTTGCTTTCACATTTTTTGCTTTAACGACCTTGAAACTATTCAAGTTATATTTAGTTAACTTTACTGAATGGATGGAGTATATCACAGTAAATGAACTTATAACTTGTCAAAACAACCAGTTAAGTTAAGACAGTAACTTACAGTTACACAAGTATTAATTTAACAATTATATTAATTTATTTAATATACTCGCAAAAGTCAGCCATAGACATATTTCAATTTAGGTCTTAATTATTTTAACAAAAATTGTCGAATAGAATATGAAAAACGCGACACCATTTTTTTAAATTTTCATTTTATTTATTGCGACATCTAGACTAAACATCTTCTATAAATACGCAATTGTTTTCAGGAATTTTGTTTAAAAAGAAATCAATTTAACAAGAGAACTTTAGCCTTATTTAAATTATTTTGTGATTATTCAAATAATTTTGTGATTGAAATTTAAAATTAAAAAAAAAAATTTAAAATTTAAAAAAAGTTTGATGAAACAAGGGAAAAAAGAAGAAAGTTTTTTTTTCTTAAATCGTAAATTTTTTTAACGTTTTCAATTATATATTTTTTCTTGAAAATAGTTTCAAAAGTAGAAATATTCTATTGTAACCTTCAAAGCAGTAATTGCAAATTGCAAGTTAAAATAAAAATTTTAAATTAAATTTAATAAATTATTTTATTTTTTTCTAAAAAAATAATTTAAGCATTTTCTTATACTTAATATAATTGGATTTATTAAACAAAATTTTTTGTTTCACTTTTTTTGGAAAACAATTAGAATAAAAAAAAATGAATGAAAACATCAGTTTAAAAACCATTTGAATGAAAAACTTAATTATACTTAAATTTTTAATCGTACGCTTGATCAGGAAACGATAATTTATAAAAGATGTGGTATCTAATGTTTTATGCTTTGATCTTACTTGTTTGGTCCATATATTATAAACTTGTATAGTTCTATAAGCGCAAATATGAAGTTTTGTTTTAGTTTATTAACTAGATCAATTTTATTTATTTGCTTCCTTTTATTTTAATTCCATTTTATTTTATAAATTGTATAAATCAACACGAAACAGCGTCACGAATTTGTTTTACAAAATTCGTGACGCTGTTAACCCAAGCTCTTTATATTTTTAAAACAAATTTGCAGTTTGTTTTAATGTTGTTTTATAGCTTTTAACAAATAAAAACTTTTTAAAATTAACATGTGTTTTAACGTCAGCATGAACGTATTAAATAGTTTTCTTTGACTAATTAAAGTGGTTTAGATATTGCAATGTTGCTTTTTCTCTTACTTTTTTACTTTTACTTTTTTAATTATAATGATACTTATAAATACTTATATATTTCTTCAAGTATATATTTTACTTAAGTAAAATATATACTAAAAGAAATATCTTAATAGTATTAAAAACTTTATTGCTTATTACAACTGCAACTTAAATTTTAAGTTATAACTTTAGTTGTAAATTATAACAGTAGCTATTTTAAACTCTGTCGAACAAGATAATTATAAGATTATATTTAAATATGAGAGATAATATATTAAAAGTAGAACAATTACGTACAAAAGTTACAATTATATACTAACGCAACTTCTTCCCCCCCCTCCCCATTACTGCAATGTTTAAGCAGGGAAGAAGGAAGTAAAAAAATTTTTTTCTTTGCGATTAGATTTTTTTGCGTTAATTCGAGCCCTGTATATATATATAATTATCAGGGTGTTACCCAGGAAAAAATTTCATACAGCGTTTTTGTGAAATTAGGAGTTAAGGTGCAACTAAAAAAAAAAAAAAAAAAAAAAAAAAGGCAAGTATACTTCCATTTTTTAGATATAATTAAATTTTAATCCAAATAAATGTTCTTTTTTTGCTGGGTGTTAAAGTTATAGCAGAATTATTTTTTTACTTTATAAATGTTTAATTCTAATTATTTAGCTTGTTTCAATATGGACAATCTTCTAAAGTTTTTATTTTTAAATTGTTTCTCCTCTTTGTTTCGCAAAGCGAGATTCTTTCACCGCACGAGGGCAGCAACTAAATTTAATTGGCGTATTTTAAATACTTAGTAAATTAGGTATTTAAATAAAAAAAATGTATTTAAATACAAAATTATTATTATTTTTTTTTTTTCAATTTACATTACATTCATTAAATATCTACATAAAGTTTGTATTTGTAAATTAAAAAAAGAATTTTGTATTTATAAATATTGGTTAATAATTAATAATATTTATAATATTATTTAATTATCTTCTTTTACGTTTTACATAAATATAACATAGATAATACGTTTTATTGCAAGTTTTATTTTTGATTATTTTTGTTGTTATTTTCAAATTACTATACCTGCTAATTTATTTTACTGAGAGTATTAATAAAACTTTTATTACAAAAACGTTATTAACTTATTTAATAATTTTTTGTAATAAAGTATTATATTTATTATTATGCAAATTTCTTTGTAACTTTACTAACTTAAGATAAACAGCAAAAACATAAATAAAGAGTTTTTGAATAATAAAAATAAATTAATAAAATAATTTATTAAACCTTAAAAAATATTAACTCAAGATTAACTGACGTCAATAAAAGTAAAAAAATCACGCTTCTAATTGCGTTTTTTACTTGTCTAGCGCGACACTTAAAATCTGAGACCGATTAAATTTTTTTTTACTATGATTTTATGAAACTTTGGGAATTTGAAACCATTTGGGAATACCGCGTTATACGCGGTGTCATCAGGCTGGTTAACACCCTGTATGTATGTATATATATATAATATATATATATATATATATATATATATATATATATATATATATATATTATATATATATACATATATATATATATATACATATATATATATATATATATATATATATATATATATATATATATATATATATATATATAATATATATATATAATATATATATATAAAAAATATATGTATATATAAAATATATATATATATATAAAATATATATATATATAATATTTTATATATTTGAACATTGCACATTGACTTCTAGTAATTATATTATAGATATATATATATATATATATATATATATATATATATATATATATATATATATATATATTATATATAATATTTATATATATAATAAATATATAATATATATATATATATATATATACATATATATATATATATATACATATATATATATATATATATATATATAATATATATATATATAAAATATATATATATATATATAAAATATATATATATATAATATTTAGATATATTTGAACATTGCACATTGACTTCTAGCAATTATATTATATATATATATATATATATATATATATATATATATATATATATATATATATATATATATATATATATTATATATAATATTTATATATATAATAAATATATAATATAATATATATATATATATATATATATATATATATATATATATATATATATATAATAAATATATATATAAATTTTCAAATATTAACTTCAAACCTGTGTATTATCTGAATAAAATATTGATCCAACCATAGGATTAATGGTAGTAAAAGGATAATCAGCAACTTTAGGACGGGCTCGAGATAAAGCACATAAAAGTGATGATTTACCAGCATTTGGAAAGCCTGTGAGAGCCACATCTGCTATACTTTTTAGCTCAAGCACAATATTTCGTTTTTCACCTTTTTGACCATTAAAATTTTCATACTTAGCAGAACCACCAGCTCCACCATTCACAACTTTCAAAGTCTGACCTTCTTCATTTAGATCTGAAATAAGAACATCCTCGCTAGATTTAACTTCAGTTCCTGGTGGAACAATAATATAAACATCATTTCCATCTTTCACTCTTACTTGATTTCGTTTAGCAGGAAATCCATGCCCAGCAACAATTCTTCGATTTTCTTTATTTGCAAAGGTTGATAAGGAACCTCCATTTAAACATTTGATATACACATTACCACCATCTCCACCAATAAGACCTGTTGACTGAGAACCTTGACCACCACTACCACCTCTTACATGAATACGAATTCGATCAATTATTTTTGTTCGCTTATAACTATCTTTTGTTGGGGGTTTTAGCTTGACAGATACAACTTCAGTTACATTTCGTACTTGTAGATATAGGAAGTTCTTTGATGGACATAATAACGATTTAATAAACATTTAAACTTAAAATTACACAAACTTTTGCCTTCAGTTAATATTATATATGAATAAATATATATTTAATAATTGAATTTATATATATTTAACAATTGAATTTATAAATATTTAATAATTAAATATATATATATTTAATAATTATATATATATATAATATATATATATATATATATATATATATATATATATATATATATATATATATATATATATATATATACACATAAATTAGTAGAAAATCACATAACAAAAATATTTTTTCATTTTACACTGTGTTTCATCAACAAAGACTCAGAAATGAATGATCAAATTAATAAAACTTCAATTTATACCAAAAAATTAAATTACAGGGAAGTCGGAAATGTTTTAAGCTACAGTAAATTTTCACAACATTTGTGAAATTTGCTGACACTTTGACCTAAAAAAAGAATAAAAAAAAAGCGGAATAGAACTAGAAATGCAATTTGGTTCAACCCCCACATATAGCAAAAATGTTTCCAATAACATAGGGAAAGTGTTTTTAAAATTGGTCGATAAGCATTTCCCTCCCCTCTAATAAATTACATAAAATTTTTAATCGAAATACAATTAAAGTTAGTTACAGTTGCACAAAAAATATGGAAAGAATTATAAAAGGTCATAATAATGCTTTGATAAATAAAAAAGAAATTCTAAATGAAAAAACTACAGAAAATTGTAACTGTAAACAAAAAATCAATTGTCCAATGAGTCGAAGTTGTTTATCAAAAAATGTGGTATATAAATGTGTTATTTCCTCTAAAAATATACCCGATAAACAATATATTGGCATAACAGAGGCATAAGCAATCTTTTAAATATAAAAACTATTCAAAAGACACCATGCTGTCAAATTATATATGGGAACTGAAAGATAAAAATATTGATGATTTTATACTGAATTGGTCCATCCTTAAAACAGAGCCTGCATACAAAAAAAAGCATAAGTAATCATGTCTAAAGAACTCTTTTTATAATAGTGTCAGCAAATTCCACAAATGTGTGAAAATTTACAGTAATTAAAAGATTTCCGACTTCTTGTAATTTAATTTTTGGTATAAGTTGAAGTTTTATTAATTTGATCATTCATTTCTGATGTGTCCTTTGTTGATGAAACACAGTGTAAAATGAAAAAATATTTTTTGTTTATGTGATTTTCTACTAATTTATAATTGCTCTGTTCTTTTAAGAACACTGAGCACTATTTTGTAGAATACATTTTTAAAATTGTTTAACTAAATATATGTATATATATATATATATATATATATATATATATATATATATATATTATATATATATATATATATATATATATATATATAATATATATATATATATTAGAGTGCCACTAAAACAACTTTTTTTGAAATTGTCCTGCTGCCACCCCCTAAATGTGTTCTATAAAATAATTAACACTAAATTAAAAAAAAATTTAAATAAAAAAAAATATT